GCCCCGTTTACACTGTCAGGTCTTGATTCCCAATTCCGATTTGTTGCCTATATCTGATTTGTTTGCCTGTCCGTTTACACGTTGTTTTAATCGTGACCCATATCCAATTCATTCGCTTACACTTGCCATACAATTTACGATGTCGCGCATGCATAAAGGCGGGTTCTAGCATCTGCGCCACACTAGCCACGATGGAAGAAATTGTCTTGTTTTTAGCTCTGCCAAATATGCAAAGTGAAGTATAAGCAGTGAATGGTTCAGTCCAGATTTGTTTTCTTTGCATATACGGATTTATTTAGTTGTGATCAACATCTGGGGAAAATTTCAAGTCAAGAGCCCCTTTAGAGATACAGCTGAAGTCAGAATTATTAGCCACCCTGAATTATTAGACCGCTTGTTTATTTTTTCCCCCATTTTCTGTTTACTGGGGAGCAGATTTCTTCAACAAATTTCCAAACATAATAGTTTTAATAACTCATCTCTAATAACTGATATATTTAATCTTTGTCATGATGACAGTAAATAATATTAGACTAGATATTCTTCAAGACACTTCTACACAGCTTAAAGTGACATTTAAATGCTTAACTAGGTTAATTATGTTAACTAGGCAGGTTTGGGTAATTAGGCAAGTTATTGTATAACGATGGTTTGTTCTGTAGACTATCGAGAAAAAAATTTAGCTTTAAGGGCCTAATAATTTTGTCCCTAAAATGGTGTTTAAAAAATTCTAAACGCCTTTTATCCTGGCCGAAATAAAACAAATCAGACTTTCTCCAGAAGAAAAAATATTATCAGACATACTGTGAAAATTTTCTTGCTCTGTTAAACATCATTTGGAAAATATTTTAAAAAGAAGAAAAAAATTGTATGTTTTCTGAGAAAAATGGTGACGTGTTCAATACCTATTTGGAACTGTGCTGGTGGATGATTTGTTTCGCTCCGTGGAAAATAAAGATGTATTTATTGTATCACAAACCTCTGTCGTATATTTACTTTTTTTCCTAATATGTCATTATTTTAAAGATTATGTCTCGAGCATCTTATTTTTCCTCGGTGCTGGTGTGCTTTCGTTTTCTCCGTCTTACTCGTGGAAAGTTCAGATGAGAGTGTTTAATAAGCAACCCTGGTTAAAAATATATACATTTAGATTTAAAAGAAAAGGTCACACTTTATTTTGATGGTCGTTTGTTGAATTTAAGTAATAGTGCATCTACATGCCAACTAATTCTCATTAGATTATAAGTAGACTGTTAGGTTGGGGTTAGTGTAACTTGACATGTACATGCAAAGTTTCTTATAGTCAGTTAACGGAGCTGTATCAGCAGATATTAAGCAGACGGTCTACTAATACATTTACATTTTTACATTTAGTCATTTAGCAGACGCTTTTATCCAAAGCGACTTACAAATGAGGACAAGGAAGCAATTTACACAACTAAGAGCAACAATGAATAAGTACTAAAGGCAAGTTTCAGGTCTGTAAAGTCTAAGAAGGGAAGTATTAGTAGTATTAGTATTTTTTATTTTATTTTTTTTACTCGAACAGACCATCAAAATAAAGTGTTACCAAAAGAAAATATCTTTATATTAAAAAGGAAACACAGTTTTCATCCTATCCATGTCATAACGAATGCCCTTAAATAACGTAGCCTAGTTGTCAGTAAGCATGAGTACGCTACAGAAACCCTGTCATTAACTGGTAGCACGTTATCTATTACTTTACAGACTTACCTATTTCTTACACATTATATTATTTATATATAATGTTCATAGTACATCCATCTGTAAATATCACTACAGTTTTCCTATATCTGCACTTTATAACTTATTCCTGTATCCTGCACTTGCTGCTATTGCACTGCTGGTTAGACCTAAACTGCATTTCGTTGCATTGTACTTGTACATGTGTAATGACAATAAAGTTGAATCTAATCTAATCTAAATCTAATCTAATTTAAAACTTCTAGTCACTTTTTAAAAATGTAGAGTTGAATTTTCACATCAAAAGTGGCCGGAGCAGAGATCAACATCCCATAATGCAATTTACATCCAGGATGTTTTTTTTACAGCATGCCCGTTGGCAGTGCCTTGAAGGGCAGTATTACGGTGGTGGTGGTTTAGTGGTGTATTTTGTCACAGAGAGCAGACGTGGGCTTTGCTTGAGCTTATTTGCTGTGATTGACACCTGACTGCGGCTCGTCAGAACGGAACGCGGATATGGGACGCCCCGTAATGTGGGCTGTCGTCTCTGCGGCTGTCAGGATTTGCATAATCACACTAATATCCCAAATGGCCAGAGTGATTCTAGTGCGGGGCGGCTGTCAATCATCATCAGCGGGGAGCCTATCAATCACGCACACACCCAGACACACACATACACACACATGACTTGTTCCTATATCCCAGCGGGGGACTCTCAAAGATGTTTCAGAAGGTATGAAAACTAACACTGGAGAGTACCTTCTCAAAAAGCACATGTGTAACCAGAGAGTCCATAATGGTGTGTTTCATAGGGCTGCACACACAATATATGGTATCAGCATCGATATATCGCAATAGGATCATTTGCAGTTGTCACATCACAGGATATACAATGTTGAGTCTGTCATTTGCATGCATTTTTCAGGCCTGTGACTGTGTGAGGATTTCAAAAGCATTCTGGCATAAGAAACAGCATCATATTTAACTTTAAAGGGCACCTATTTTACCCCTTTTTCAAGATTTAAGATAAACACACACACACACACACACATACACACGCATCCACTGGAGGAGGAAATTACCCAGGAACTGGACCACAAAACAGTGAACCAACAAACTACTCGGCTATTATTTATATCTTTCAGGTAATTAATTCTAGGACACCAGTGGAAAAGGCGACGCTGCCTCCTTGCTCTGAGCTTTCTGCATGCCAAAAGCTTTAAAAATAAGAGTGTGAAACTCGATTTAGGTTGAGGGCCAGATTGGACATAATGTCACCTTATGCGGATCATAAATTTTTATTTGGCCCTTGCGCATGCACAACACACACACACACACACTTCTGCATCCCAGCATTAACTTTATGCTGCTGTAATAACCAGTATTGAGATATTAAACGAGGACGCATGTTGGAATTCACACATTTCACTCACCGCTGACCTTCAGATTTAATTATGAAACATGAATTAACGAAACAAAGGCTCGACTACTACAATATATAATAAGGCACATATAATGTAATATTAACACAATACAAATACCAACATAAATCTTACAATCCATTTGACTATTTTAATTCTAGATTCTTAAAATCAGTATTAATTTTCACGTCATATTCGAATATTTGTTTATGAAAATCCACATTGCTTTTATCATGAGTGACTTGTACAACCATTAATCACATTTATTCATTTTCCTTCAGCGTAGTCTCTGTTTCAGCGGTCGCCACAGTGGAATGAACCACCAACTATTCCAGCATATGTTTTACGCAGGGAATGCCCTTCCAGCTGCAACCCAGTACTGGGAAACACCCATACACACATTCACACACACACTCAAACTGTACAGCGCATGTGTTTGGAAACCGGAGCACTCAGAGGAAACCCACGTCAACACAGGGAGAACATGCAAACTCCACACAGAAATGCCAACTGACCCAGCGGGGACTCGAACCGGTGACCTTCTTGCTGTGAGTGCTAACCACTGACCCACCGTGTGACCACACCACCCTTGGATAGATACAAAAGTGTCTTCAAATTAAAAGTGCAAGCCTTAACACGGTTTAAACTCGAATATTATTAATAAACCTTGCCATTTTAATGTTTAGGGTCAGAAAGCTTATGTGTATGACACACATACATTACACATATATATTACACACATATACATAACAACTGTATATATATATATATATATATATATATATATATATATATATATATATATATATATATATATATATATATATATATATATATATATATATATATATATATTATTTTAAAATTGTAATGTATTTCCATAATAGCAAAGGTGAATTTCAGCAGCATCATTCTAGTTTTTATATTTCATAAATCATTCTAATATGGTGACAGCAATGTTTACTATTTTAATAGTTTTATTTTCTTGAATCTGATCATTTTTTCAGCCACAATGAACTGAAAAAAATTGTGTGTAAATAAAAATAAATAAATAAATAAATAAAAATAAATAAATAAATAAGTAAAAATGAAAAATAATTTAAAAAAATAAATAAATACACAAATACAATTAAAAAATAATAAAAATAAACAAATAAATAAAAATTTGAAATTATAAAAAATAAATTAAAATAAATTAATTAAAATAAATAAATAGATAAATAAAAAATAAAAAATGAAAAAGAATAAAAATGAATAAAAAATAAAAATAAATAAATAATTAATTAATTAATAAAAAAAAAAAAATATATATATATATATATATATATATATATATATATATATATATATATATATATATATATATTAAATAAATAAAAATAATAATAAAATACATACATAAAAAAATAAGTATAATTAAATAAATATTTGTAAATATATATATATATATCAAATATAAATAAATTTTAAATGATAAATTTATTATCATGGTGTTTCCCAGTGACGGGTTGCAGCTGGAAGGGCATCCGCTACTTAAAACATATGCTGGAACAGTTGGCGGTTCATTTTGCTGTGACAACCTCTGATGAATAAAGAGACTAAGTCAAATGGAAAATGAATGAATGAATTCTTGTGGAAACCAAGATAATTATTAAATTTCAGCCTCAATGAGCAGAAAAAAAACAAACAAACAAACAAACAAACACTAATTCAGAACAGTTCAGTTTCTGATTTTTGCATAAGGCTTCAGTCAATTTGGATCAAGTTGGTGCATTCGAGCATTAAAAAAAAAAAAATTTAAAAAACAAAAACAAACCAATAATCTTAATCATTCCACGGTGAGTGTAATCATATATCTTATGTTAAATGTGTTACCTGGCGCAGTGTCCGGGCCACCAGGCTCTCCAGAACAGGCCCTCTATCCTCATGCAGGAGATGAACTTCATCCAGGATCAGCAGCCGGACCACCTGAGATAAAGCCACATCGCCCACACTCTTCCTGGTCACCACATCCCACTTCTCTGGAGTCGTCACCAACATCTACAACACAAAAAACACTCATTAGGAGTGGAAGCCCTAGTGAGACATGATCAGTAATGTAATTACTTGCCTTAATCTGAATAAGAAAGAAAGTGAAAGTGAACAGCGGACAGGGGAGGAGGGCAGTTGAGGAGGGGGATTGGTAAAATGAGGTGCCAGATCTGGATCCGGCATGTTCCAGCTTAAATTAAGCCCAGGATGCGAGTATGAAGTAAGGGCTATTGGAAGAGTGTTAAGGCAAAAAGTCCTACATGACAGTAATAAGCCCCCCTTTCACACAGTGATACCTGTAAATATACGGAAAATTTCCGGAAGACTTTATCGGTAAATTAAAAAAAGCGCTGTTCACACAGGCGAGGATGTTTCGGGATTTTTCCAGAAAGCATTTTTTTGGACTGTGGGGGAAACCAGAGCACCCAGAGGAAACCCACGCGAACGCAGGGAGAACATGCAAACTCCACACAGAAACACCAACTGAGCCAGGTTTCGAACCAGCGACCCAGCGACCTTCTTGCTGTGAGACGAACGTGCTACCCACTGCGTCGCCCTTATCAATACACATTTATAAACAAGTATTTATGTGTGTAAAGCATCTGTTTTGTGAGAAGTGCTGCTCATTATGATATGTGAACATTTATTCGAGAGAGCATGACGTCGACTTAAACTTTGTCATACACCACGTCCACCAAAAAGGCTACCCTTTGTGGTGGAAACGCAAGCCTGATAAAGGTGACCCGTACCAACCCGACCCGAACCGTACTGTACCAGTTAGTGGAAACGAGGCATAAATGTTTACACACTTGACTACATTACAAATTCTGTGGATGGATCAGTATTGTGAACAACTTATATGAAAACATAAGGAGCAACACTTTCACATGTGGAGATGTACATGTTGTTGTTGACTACTGATTTTTGAAAGACTAGATTGCCTTGGTGGACACTCTGTTTGTTACTAGGAACCTGCATACTTTTTGACTACGATTTAGCCTGGTGTTTTGGATTTGTTTGCTAATAACTATTAAACTTCTTGCAGTTGGATCCCATCTGTCTCCATGTCGTCACCACCGCCATTGTCACAATTATTTACTGTCATCAACGATCAAATAAATCAGCTATTAGAAATGAGTTATTAAAACTATTATGATTAGAAATGTGCTCATCGTTAAACAGAAATTGGGGAAAAAAATGAACAGGGGTGCGAATAATCCTGACTTCAACTGTACATTGCCAGGTTAAGACAAACCAGCAACACTGGAGGCTGTAATATACATTTGTGTCTTCGACTGGTATCAACAACATATGATCTGCAATGGTTTTCTACATGATGAACGATTCATTTTCTGGATGAATAGTCAACTGTTTAAAAGCGCTAATGCAGATGTGAGTGATTGTGTGTGCGTGCCGTGAGATTTATACCACTCTCAAACATTTCCTATATGACTAACATTCATCTAATGTGTGTAATCTAACGTGTGTTGTGTACACCGGTCTCACTTTGTCCTCTCTCTCTCATAGAGGACGCTTTGTTTTTCATTAACAATGCCTTTACAAATGACTGGAGGAAAGTAGGTCTGTGAGCAGCTAAGTCTTAAGAAAAATGTCCTTTACATGTCTCGGGAGAATTGCAGGGGGGTTGTTTACTTGCTTAAATAAATAAATAAATAAATAAATAAATAAAAAGTTAATTAAAAGACATGCTATAGAAATATACGCATCAGTACTTTCAGAAAAAACCACACATATGAACAGAAACGGTTTTCATTGTCACTGATTGACTTATTGGGCTCTATCATACACCCGGCGCAGTGTGGCGCAAGACGCGGCGCAGTAGTCTTTTGGTAGTTTCAGCTTGGCGCAAGAGTGGTTTTGAGGCGTTGCGCTACACTGTTTAAATAGCAAATGCATTAGCGCTCATTTGTGCGTTCTGGTCTAAAAAGTAAGGCGTTCTGAGGTGGACCGCTGGCGCGTCACTATTTTGAGAATCTATAACAGATTTTTCATTAGACCAAAACAAACCTGGTCTGAACTCCAGCGCAGAGTTGCGCCTCGCTTACACACTGCTTAACACACACAAGAGAGCAATAGAAAAATATCTTTACATATGAAAACATTTAAATATTAAGGATATATATAGTATATAATAAGAATAGATATAGGATATAAATATAAAGGATTAAAATATTACAAAACATATTATTTTCTAGCCTACATAAATATGAAAAATCACTGCTTTTATGTCTTCTTCATCTCGGGAGGCTTTTTCAGTTCATTCATAACAATTTGCTTTTGTATAATGTTATTATTATTAACAGTATTATTTATTATATCCATATGTATATTTGTTTTATTAAAAACAAGCTTAGATTTGCCCACCTGTCAGGTTTTAGATCATATAGGGCACAGCATGTGTATTTGGAAATAACTCAGTATTTTGACCACACTTGGTCATTTTTGTTCATTTATTTGTTTGCTGGAAATTAGAACTGAATTTAGAAATAGTTTTGAAACAAATATTTGCGCTTAACAAACACAATTAGTTATTTATAGACTAATTGATGTCTGCGCGTAAAGGTTTCCCTATCCAAGAGCAAAAGTGAAAGTGATCCATTATCTCTCATTCTCACGCAGTAGATGCTCTGTTTAACAGTTTTCTGTTAACTGTTTGCTTGTGAAATGCTCAGTTTTTCCACTTAGACTTACTTTGCGTCCTGTAAATAGCGAATGCGCTTATGGCGCGACGCAGCTGACTCTTAAAGGGAATGGGAGATGAAACTCTAATTGGTTTATTCTCAAAACACACTTATAACTCATTAAGAAAATAAACTCAACCCTTTTAGCCCATGTGCCATGGCGCAAAGCAGGTTTTCCCGTCCGTAAATGATCAAAAATGCGTTCTGCTCTGCGAATGGACCGTCAAAATAGAGCCCATTGTGTTGCTAGCTGAACCAATAGGTAGAATAGTATCATCATTATCTAACACTGGTGTGTATGCATCTCAGTATTTGAAAAGTTCCAAAATGAAGCTAAATGTAAAGATGGGACGGAGTATGTGAGCTATAATCACTTCCCCCAGGGTTTTTACCGCTCCAATATACAGTTCATTTGGTTTGTTCTCCAGTTTTCCTGCATTGAGGTTTGCATTGTTTTGCTGTATCTGTGCTAATCCATTATAAACTAATGGATATATCACTGAGACTGTCTTTGTGTAAGGTTTGCTCTGAAACATCCAGAGCCTAAAGTCAATGTGTTTTAGCACATGTGCTCATTGAGACGTTAACCGAGGTCCTGACTCTCTGTGGTCGTTTTAAAATCCCAAGATTATTATTATTATTATTATTATTATTATTATTATTATTATTCCTTTATTTAGCCAGGAGATCACATTGAGACAGTACTGTCTCTTCTTCCAGTGAGACCTGGTCACGATGGCAGGCAGCACATAAAGTTTCATATAAAAATCACAAACAATACCACAAAATTACAAAATCACCATTCTTAAAAACATCAGCTCATAAAAAACAATTGCAGGTGTCCTTTAAGATGTTGTATAAAAGATGTTTAAAAGTACTCGGAGTCGGAAGAGTGTCAAGATTGAGATGATTTTGCAGGTCATTCCAAGCCCTGGGAGCGTAAACGGAAAAAGCACGTTTGCCAAGTTCTGATAGTACCCTTGGAACTCTCAGACGAATACATGAACCAGATCTAGTGTGTTGGTTGTTGGTGTGAAATGTTAATAGATTAAAAATATAGGATGGTAATTTACCTAAAAGAGCCTTTAAGATAAATAAGTACAGATGTAATTTTCTCCTTTGATATAGAGATAACCAGTCTAAGGAATCATACAAAATACAGTGATGCGTCCGTGAGTCTGCACCTGTGACAAAACGTATTGCTGCATGATAAACAGAATCTAATTTTCTGAATAGGGTAGCGGTTGCATGCATATAGAGATGATCACCATAATCCATTATAGACAGAAATGTACTCTCTACTAATTTTTTGCGGGCTTTATAAGGTAAACAATTTCTAAAAAGAGTAGGGGTTTAACCCGGGCATCCTGGCCACATTTGCTTACAGGCCTCTGTCCATCATGACCTCCTAACCATCCTCGTATAATAATTGGCTTCATCACTGTCTCCTCTCCACCAATCAGCTGGTGTGTGGTGTGCTGTCTGGCGCAATATGGGCGCCAATCACATCATCCAGAAGGATGCTGCACACTGAAGGTGGATAAGAAGATCCCCCCCCCCCCCTTTCCCCCCAAAAAAGTGTAAAACGAGTGTCCAGAAAATAGCTATATAAATGTAAGGAATGATTAATTATTATTATTAATATTATTATTATTATCTGACGTTTCGTTAGAAAAGTGGCTAATTTGTAGGAATTGATTTGTATGAAATTGTAAGGACTTTTTAAAACAGAGGCGTGGCCCCAAACCCCACCCCTAATTGTGTATACATTGGGTAGATTTTTTTGCGTAGTGAAGCATGGCTCAGTGCAGTGAACACTGCTCCATCTGAATGCAGCTGCTGGAGATTTATTACTGATTACTCGGCCCACACGGAATCTGATTGCGCAGAAATGCGCAGATTTTTAGTCCATTATTGAGTCTAATAATTTACTTGTGTAAAGGTGTGTAAATTTACATTAATCCATTTTTTACAAAATTCAGAAATAGCAAAAAAAACAACCACAGACTCTGGCTTGATTACACACTGACAGAATATGCAGGAAAATAACCTTTGATCAACCGTGCAGTGCTTTTATGTCATATGACTTATAGACTGAGCTCCATACATCTGAAAAGGCAGAAAGTGACCTCAACTACATTATTGGGATGGACACACAGCTCTCCCAATTCACTGAAATAAACAAATTTGACAATGATAAATCGGACGCGCAACCAAAGTTAAATAAAGAAGAGAGGAATATAGGCGCAAAGTACATGAAGACTAATTTACATAAAACAGAGGCATGTTTGCCCTGAAAAGAATGAC